CTTGTTTTTTAATTTAAATATTTCGTCTTCAGCATGTCATGCAGAATACGTACTCTTTTTTTTTTTGGTAAGTAATTTTCTTTTTCACCACATTTTTCGTTGTAGGAGACATGCGACATGCAGTCGCTTGGTTTGACAAGGTAAGTCACCGTTTTCTTCACTATAAAACTATATGATACTGGCAACATATCAGAAGACCTTAGCAGATCTATCTACTTCAGCTGCCTAAGAAGCCAGCTGCAAATGAATGTGAGCTTCATCAGACAATCAGCTTAAGAGGGAAATAGATAAGTGAATGTTGTTAACTTACCAATGTTGGCTATTTTCAAGAAGAAACTGAGGATCCTGCTCAAATGAGATGAAAATCTATCAATGCAATCCATAAAATTTTAAAAAGACAATGAAGTTTCATTAAAGACACTGAAACAAGAAATGCGATATTTATGATTATGATTTTATTAACCAATCTGCAGCATTGTCTCAAACATCATTCTTTTCCCTCCTAAAGATCAAAATTAGAAATTGGGAAATATATTTATTAACCAATAAAACTTTGGAGTTAAGTAAATCTAACTTTTATCTTTGTGTGATCTGATTTTTTTCTTATAAATAGCATAATGTAAATTAATAAGTTAGTTTTCAGTATAATTCAGCCAGGGGATGTAAACAATACTCAATACTCAAATTTTCACATACTCAACTTATTAAGTTCCTTTTAGAGAATTATTTCTATGCTGTGCACAACATGGTTCGAACAGCGATTCTGGGAGAAGGTTTTCCCAGTTAGTGACTGAGTGCATTCACGGTAGCCAACTGAATTGTTTTCCAAATAATGCCATTGTATTTTTCACACTACCCATTACCTTGGGGGTTATACGGTGTAGTCCAACCTACAGCAACCCCCTTGTTCATGAAAAAATGAAAATTTTTAATTTTACTTCTTGACTTGGAAAGTCAAAAATAAATGCAACTGATTTTTGGTCAGTTATGAGTGTGGAGTGACAACCAATTAGGTAATGCCTCCATTTTTTTAATGCCGCCATGCTTCTTTTTCAGCAACCAAGTGTTATTGTTTAGACCGCGACAAGGTCTTTGAATAAAAGCAACAGGGAGTAACCATTTTGTCTAAGTGATGCAGCAATGGCACTATCAGATGCATCTGTTTCCACAATTAGTGGGGTTGCAGGGTCTATAGTGACTAGCACAGCATTTGCTATGTCGTTTTTGGTTTTTTGGACCACTTTGATAGCAGTGGGAGATTGGGAGGAAACTATTAGCTTGTGCCAGTGGATGTATCTTCTCTGAAAAAGAGGAAATCCACTGTGAGTAATGCACAAACATGCCCATAGTTCGCTGAAGTGCTCGCATGTTGTCAAGAACTAGCAGCTTGAGCAGAGTGTCTGGCTTCATATTCCCTTCACTCACAGCATACCCTAATAGATTGAGGGTTCTCACCCAAAAGAAACATTTATCATAATTTAAAGTAAGGTTGTATTTGTTAGCAGCCACCATGAACTGTTTAAGGTTGCAATCATGGTCTGACTGGTTTAGTCTACAGACTGTTACATTAATGATGTAGGCAAATGTGTCTTTCAATTTTTCTGTGCTTATTATATTGTCAATGATTCTTTGAAAACTTGACATGCCATTAGTCACACCAAATGGAATCCATCAAAAATTATACAAATGGCCATTCACCTCGAAGGCTGTAGCCTTTGAAGTGAATGTCCATTTGTATAATTGGCTCTCGCTTGATTTCTATTTGGTAGTACGTGCTCCAGAGATCCAAAGTACTATAAATGTGATATTTGGCAATTTTTCTTACCATTTTGTTGATATGAGGCAGCAGGTATAAATCCAACTGAGTGAACCTATTAATCACCTTGGAATAGTCTATTACTAATCTCTTTTTGGAATAGTCTATTACTAATCTTTTTTGTGCTTCTCAGAAGAACTTATGAGTACCTGTGTCTCCACAGAGACTTGCTTGATTCAATAACTCCTTCCTAAGTATTCTTGTTGCTTTGGTTTTAATAAATTGTTTGTCATCATGTGAGCACCATCTACATTTTACTACTATGGGTTTGTAGTTTGGCATTAGTTTATTAAAAATTGACGGGTGCTGAACAGGTACTTGATTGCTGCTAGTCCGCAGATATTTATGGTTAGTTCAGGTCATCCAAAAGGGATTATGATACTAGAATGCCAACATAGGAAGTTGTGCTTTAATGTCATGCTACAACAGAGATTCTTCATAGTTTTGTGCAAATGTAAAAAAAATTTTTTAGATGAAATCTGACTAGGCAGTACTCAATTACTTGAGCACACAAAGAAACACTTGCCATAGTTATTTTGTCGGAGCAAGGAAAGATCTGCCACTTATTAGCTTTCACCATGTTTGAATCTATGTAGTTCACAGAACTACCTGTGTGTCAATAAAGGTGTCCACAGGTTGAACGTTTCTCACTGTACTGTATTTTAGGTTTTAGTCTTCATGCTAGAAGTTGGTACAGCATTTGTTCACTGTTGAGCATAATGGGAACTTGTCATACAGTTTTTGCATCATAGACTCATAAACTTCCTTTAAGGCTTTCTTCTGCAAGTAAAGGAAGTTCATGACAGCTTGCAAAACTTGTAAATTCCACATATTCTGTTAACTTGGTTTAGTCAATGATCTGAAACAAATTCAAAAATAAATCCAAGAATTCTGCATAAAAAACTGTTTCCAGTGAACCCTGATTTTGGGAAGCGTGTTAAACCAAGAATGTTTCAGCACTTGCTCATACTGGAATGGTTTAGTGTATGATAACTTGTTGAAGAATCAAAGAGAATGAAATAGTGAATCCTGGAATATGACTATCCATGATACTGATATACAAATACAATTAACACCAATGGGAGAGTATTTTCATGAAATTCATACTCTTAAAAACTTAGGCTAATCATTATTATGGCATCTGCCAGTAACTATCGAACATAAAAGTCTATTTATAGTAGTTTTGAACAATATCTAACTCTTAATATTGCTGTTGACATATATGGACCCTACACATTTTAGCACATAATCATTTTATATAATTAATTTAAATTATTCTTAATTAAGAGTCTATCACTTCTTATTTTCTTCAGTTGTTACTATAATTATCCTGTGTAGTTCTATTCAAAACTATTACAGTATTCGTTATGATTGTCCTTTATTTAATGTTATGATTTGAATGCATTAAGATGTAATTCCTAACATACTACTGCATTTGTATTCTGTACTTGCTTACTAAGTTTGGCACAATAGCATTGCATGGTATTTGGTCATCTGTGATAATTAGAAACTGACATTTGGCTAAACTAGCTGATCTTAGCATTTTTATCTCTTGATTTTTTTTTTTTTCAAGAGAATAATTGTATTTCTGTATTTTTGGGTCCATAGATTACCTACAGGATTTGCAACTATAAATACATAGCTTGATGACATGCTAATTATATTTTAATTTTCTCTCTCTCTTATTATGCAACTAGTTTAGTTGAGACTATTTTTATCTCTTAAAGACTTTAAGTTTTCTTCTTTTTCGTCTCTAATCTTGTATTGCAGGTTTATTTACAGTTTTCAGCTCCTCTTGTTATCTGAGAAACACATTTACTTAGATAGGTCAACCATTCATACATTTGTTTTATGATACATACTACAAAAAAATAATGTATATATATTGTTAAGCAAGTATTATACGTGTGGTATTTCATGGTGCGTTATCATTTGTAGTAGGTTGGTAAATAGAATTGTACCTATTTCTATATGTTAAGTAGACATTTTTGTTGCTATCTAGCAGTACTTGATAACAAAGAAATGAACTCTGTTCATGTTTGTATCAGATATTTTTTTTAGATTAAGCCAACTTTAGTACAAGACAAAGTTAAACTCAATAGCAATGGGTTATGAGATCAACTTGCTACCTAACTACAGCATGCAAATTTGGACTATATTTTTATTGAGATTATCATCATTGTTGATGTGTAGCATGCCACATATAGCAGTGAATAGTGACATTATCTAGTGCAACTGTTATTGTGTCATACCACAGACATTTTACATTCTATTGATAACACTATATTTGCAAAGTAAGGGTTATTTATTTGAACAACCTCAGAAATCCCTTTCAAATGCTATTAATTACAGACATACAGCAACAGTAGTATAAATAGCAAAGTAACTGAGACATTGTTAAGGACTATGTGAAATAATGAGAACAACCATTGCTATGTGCCTAGCAGATTTTCACAAATTCTACACACAAAAATGAATCCCATCTTTATGTATGGTTTTATCTGCCTCTACATTCTTGAATTTTTAGGTAAAGTTTAAATATTCATTTTTTTTTCTTTTAGTGATGTAGAAAAGTATAGAAGTGTTCAAAAAGTTTCTGTTCAACAATTATTACTGCAAAGAAAGTTTTAAATCATTCTATAATAGAAATGGAACATTCCTTTCTTTCTATGTCCATACAGAGATTTTTTTTAAACTATTCATATATTTAGAGACAACTGGCAATTTTGACTATAAGACAATTTGATTCTTATGAAATGTACTATGAAAATGTAAATTTTTGTTCCATATCTATTATGTAATAAATTTGAAAACTTAGCATGAAACAAAAGCTCTCATAAGTTGTGATGGGAAAAAGTTTTGATTTAAATTTATATATTCGATAAAGAAATAAAACAATTTTTATCCGTAAACGTACCTCTTATGCTTGTATGGAATATTACCAAAATATCAAAAAATAAGTTCTTCAGAAGCTCATATTATTTTTTTTTTTTTTTTTCTTGTTAAAAACATTTTCAGTAACAACTTCAAATGTTGACCTGTTCAAAATTGTAGCTTTTATTCACTAATATTTTTAGGGTTGCTACAAAATTGCAAAACTTGTTAAAAATTTTGAACAAATATCTTTTCACAAAATGATGGAAAAGTTGCATTTTAATTATAATTATTTTTTTTACAATTGCAGGAGGTTATGATAAATCTTTACATATGGACCGAGCTAGTGTAGAATGTTTTGATCCAGAAACTGATGAATGGACTTTAGTTGCTGAAATGGAAAAACCCCGGTCAGGTTTAGTGCTGATGACAGTTGACCACTTTATTTATGCCTTTGGTGGTCGATGTCGACATACAGACCGATATTTTGATATTGTAGAAAGGTAAGTATACATATACAAATAAATGTGTAATTTTAATTATCACCAAGTATAATTTTTATCAATGAGTATTTTAGTTATATTCCAGTATAGAGATTTTATTATTTGATAAAGAAAAGCAGTTATTATTATTAATATCAGTGAAAAGAACTGGATGAAAATTAAGATGAAACAAGTGGAAAATCTTTTCACAGACAGACTTGAGATTTTATAAATATTAAACTAAATAATAAAACATTTTTTTCCTGTAAACATACATTTTTGTTGATGTATGATTATCACCAACATTGCTTTTGGCTCTGCAAGTTTTTGAAAGACATTCTCAACAATAAATTCAGTTGTAAACCAGCCTTTAAGTGCAACTTTATTTCAGTGTACAAATAAAAAAAAAAAAGATTTGATAATTACAGTGCTCAAGTCAAAATAACTCTCAATGAGTTATTGTGACTTGAGCATTGCAACTGGCATGATATTTGCAAGTGAACTAACTTCATCCTATTTATTTGTTTTTTTTTTAGGAAGAAGACTGTTGGCTAAAAAGGAGACTTCTTTATCTCTTACCACATTCTTTTTTTGTTCTTGATTTCTTATGAATATTGCTAAAGTATCAAATTTTTTGTCACTTCTTTTTCCCCATATACAACACTGGAAAGGCATCACAAAGTCTCTTGTTTATAGTATTCCAGAATGTACAGAATTAAATCTCTTTACTTGATGTGTGTTTCTTATGCACACACACTCAAAATAAATCAATATGAAAAGCCAATTTTTGTAGCATTAAATACACAAAATCTGAATGTTTTCAATTGTTACTGATAATATTCAGTCTCTTTGAATTTTTCTGATTTTGATTATAAATGAATTTTCTTGCTGAGTGCGTTCACACTTCTTTTTTTATTTTCCTAAATTGACAGACATGAAATGCTTTTTATAAGATAAGTGTATTGAAAAAATATTTCAAAGTAATGTTTTGTCTTCTCATTGGTTAACTTCTTTCATTGATATATTTTCTAGATACAACACAGTAACACGGCAATGGAATAACATCACGCCCATGAATACCCCCAGGGCATGGCCCGGTGTCACAGTATTTGATGGACGGATTTATGTACTTGGAGGTTTTGATGGGTCAAGCCGATTACGAACTGCTGAAATGTATGATCCAGAGACTAACCGATGGACGTATATAAACAGTATGATAACTCCGCGGGCCGGATGCAGCTCAGCTGTAGTATGAATGAAAATGAAAAGTGATAAAAAAAAAAATTTCAGTTCATTCATGTGCTGCTTGCTGACAACCTTACAAACACAATCTAAATAAGAGACAGTTAATTTGTTTTCTTTTGATAAAATTATGTAAAAATAGAATTTTGTTTTAAATATAAGAAAAGTGCTTCTTTTTTGCTATTTTAATTCGGCTGAAGGATGAAAAGTCTTGTTCAATAATTCAAGGAAACTTTTCTTTTTTCCTTTTTTTTTAACTGTGAAGCCCACAAATAATGAAGAGACTTTCTTTTTTGTATTTTTATTTATTTTTTGCTGGGTCAAATTGAAATTGCTGTTAATTTCAGAAAATGGTTCATTCTTCATATTCTGGTTCTGCTATAAAAAGGAGCAAGAGGAGAAAAACATTTTGCAACTTCAGTCATAGCCACATTATAAAAATATTTGGGGAACAATTTCTCAATTGTGATGACATTAAAAATTGTTTCTGTCACTACTTATAGTTTTTCAAGATATCTAATGACAATTAAATTCACTCTACCAATGGGAATTGAATTACAAAAATTTAAATTCAAAAGGTAATCTTCCAATTTCTGTTAATTTAAAAAATGATTTTAATTACTTTGAAATTATTAAGTTCTTCACTTTTCATTAAAAATTAAGTTCAGGATTTTATAGGTCATCAAGAAATTAAGTTTACTACAGTCTATTTGTTTGCCCAGTTACCATAATCAATTTTTTTTTTACCTATTTGTTCTAATTGGTGCTGTAAATTGGTTCTTTTAATGAGAAAAAAAATCTTTGATTCAATTTTTCACAAATTTTTTCTTATATATCTTCTACGACATTAGAAAGCTAAAGAATGTTAATTGTAATATTAATTCCAGTATAATGGTACTTTTTTATTATATGATAAAGAAATTGGATATTTGATTATATGATTGTTTGGAAGAATATAGTTCAAATTAGTTTTTATTAATAATCTGTCCTCAAAAAATTGAAATGCTATTTATTTATGATTTGATTTCATTTCACATTAAAGAGATAATATTACAAACTATTTCCTATTTTGTGCAGTTAAAGTTCAATAATCTTGCACAATTTAAATTAGACAATATCTGAGAATCAGAGATTACCTTTTGAAGAATCATGAACTGCAACTTTAAGATGAGTATACAATCTGAGCAAATATTTTGCCAAATAAAAAGCATTTTTTTTATTTAAATTACTAATTATTGTAATATTCTGTGGAAAAGCCAAGTTTTTAGTCATGTGCTATATGCAATTCTTGTTGTTTGTTATAACAAGTGCAACTATTCTTCATGTATCTTGGCTTTATGATATCATCTATTAGTAAAAAAGAAGAAAATGTAAATAACACCTGCAAATCAGCTGCTGACACAACAATTATGTGTATAGGAGAGAATGAGAAAACTCTGTGATGGTTAAGGTTATCAACAAAGTTCATGAAAGTTCATTTTTTTAACCTTTTTTAACCATTAATATTTTGTATTGCAGAAAAAAATTAAAATCCCACAAAAATTAAGTAAACAAGTTTTTCATTATTTGCCAGTTGGAAAATGTTTTTTGTTTTGCTAACGTCCATTCTTGTTGCTAAATATCCTTAGGCAGAGGTTATCTCTGCTATAATTTAAGTAGTTTCTATTGGGACTTACATGGACTTCTTTCATAATTTCCACACTTATAAAAATTTATATGTTGGAAAGCTTATTGACAATATTTTTCGTGATCCTCCAACAATAGACTTGAACATTTTTCAATAAAGGCTTAACCATAATGTAAGATTAGATGATTGTGTGTGTGTGTGTGTGTGTGTACGCGCGTGCGCGCCATCCTCGGCTATAGAAATAAGCCTGTTCTTGTTCCCATCAAGTATTTATATTTTTATCAACGTCTGCGTGCTTAGAAACAAATAAAAAAAAATGTTATTGGCATAAAGGGAGATAAACGATGCAGTCTTTCAATATCCGTTTTGTGGCGGTACTTGTACACTTTCGGGCAAAAATTTATATTTTGCTTCTTATTTGTTAAGAATTATTTCATGAAATGGCTAGGAATTTTTCTTGTTATATTTACCTTCCTAGCTGATTGACATGATTTTTTTAAAAAATTTCGTTCAGTTGATTGGTTTAAATCGTTTCTGGATTTTTTCAAATTCACAAATCCACTCTCTTCAAGGGAGGTCACTCGGAATTGATTCTTAGCAAAGACTATTTCGTTAGTAGTGTAGTTTAAATAAAAACATTGTATTTATTTTTCAGTTACATTTTATGAAGAGAGGGCTGGAGAAGAAACATTTTATTTCATTATAATAAAAATATTGAAAACACTGGATTCAAAATTGAATCATTACATTTGTCTTAACATTACATGTGATATGTGAAAATCTAATTTTCATGTCAAGATATACATTATAAAGAAAAATTTAAAGATGTTTTTGTTGAATTTGAATGTGCCTCTACAATTTAATGGCTTTTTAAAAGTGTTGTTGAATTTTTATTGGCTATTTTAAAACCACTGAATAAATGCAATATAAGCTTTTATAAAAATAAAAAATAAAAACCTCTCTAAAAACATTTGAAATCACAGCAAAATATTGCGTTATATAATCTAGAACAATATTTTCACCATTAAAGCATGGGAGCTTATTTTAAAAAATATTAAAATGTTCTTTTGTGTTATTTCATGCTAAAATTAATACTGATAAAAAATTTAAAAGGATTTAATTTTTAAACTCACATTATAAAGTAGAATTAGCAGCAAATGATAAAAAAAAAATTCTGAAAAGAAGTTATCTCACTCTGGCAGCATTATATGTTAGGAAATAGATGTATAGTAAAAGCTCACTGTTTCACTGTGATAAGAAAACAAATACTGTGTTACTTTAGCAATAAAGGTTGCTTTTTTGAGATAAATTAGTTGGCATCATACTGTTTTTTTCCTGAAGTATTTATTTTCAAACTGATAGTTTTATAAGATGTATTCATGCAACAATAACGTTTACTAGTTACAAGTTTAAAAATATCACTAATCTACATCCATTTAGGCCAAGTATGATACTTACTTGTCAACCATTTTCTTGGGACACAGTTGAAATTTTATTTAGCAAGTCATGATACTTGATTTATCTTAATTTGAAATTAGTTTTTCTTGTGAATAAAATAACAATCAAATTGTTTAAAGACATTAAACATCTTTAACTCTAAACAATCTGATTGTTATTTTCTTCCCAACCCAAATCTTTGATGTGATGAAAAGTTTATAAACAATTTGAATATAGTGCATCTGAAGTTAAGAGGGGGTTTCAAAGACTCACTTGTTACATTGTTTTGAGAAACTTCCTTTTGTTGATTTTAATCAAAAGACAAGGAAGGAAAATTAGAGATTTGGGGAGTTTTTTTTAAGTGTTAATATTTCTTCTAACTATAAATGGTTAGATTAAAATTGTTCTGATAAAACATAATCTATAAATGGTTTTTATTCTCTTTCAACTTTATCAGGACATCATTTTCAAATATTCTAGCCTTTCTTTTTTAATATGAAGAAACAACAATAAATAGTTTAATTTTCCAATTAATAACTAAAGTGTAATGACTCATGAGAATAATTTGTTATTATCAATTAAAGCCTGGCAAAAAATTATAATTTATTCCTTCATATACCTCATGAATTGCAAAGATTATTATATAATGTCTAGAAGTACCTTACTACTTATATACACTTTATCAGACATTTGGAACACTTGAAATAATGTTAATTAAACGTTTATGACTTTTGAACATAATCTTTATGTAATGTTGGTAAATTTAATGAAATAATCACAGTAATTATCAAGAATCAAAAGTATATTTAAATTTTGACTTTGTGTCTCCTTTATATTTAAGTCAAACTTTGTTTTTATCCATTTCTAAAGCCAATTTTCACATAAAAAGTTGATCCATTTTGGGGAAATACTGAATGCTGATCTTATTTGATTTGACTTATGATTTTATCTTACCAACATTACTTCATAAAAAGAAATACTGCTCAAATATTGATAGAAATATGCTTTTTATATTTTGTGTCATATGGGTAACTAAATGACAAAATGAAAAAAAATTCCATGTCATGTATTTTGTCCTTTCAAAGAACTTCAGACTAAAATAATGTTCTTATTGGTGAAATGTTGAACACCCTCCACTCCCTATTATGCCAAATATATGTGAAAATGGGACTGATTGACCAGCATAGACAATGTGACCAAACTTTTACTTAATGAATACGAGTAGACAGGATTTATTGACTGTATATAATTCACCTTGAATAAAATTATTTGAAATGTAATTCTTACATAAGTCAAAAGGTGCCCATATTTATTTTCTATTGAATTTCAGAATGGGCTATGATGTCTATTTCCCCTTTTTTAATTTTCTTTTGTACCCATTGTTGACTAACAGCTGTTGATGAGAAAAGCTATCATTGTAAATACTGTTATCTTACTGCTACACTTATCAACTTTCTAAAATATTGGATTACTTGCTTAGCTTAACTTAGTCTGGTACAAGATCACAAATGTGGAAGTTGTCTGAAACAAATTTGCTACAGTAGTAATCGAGTGACTGTCTATGAGTTTAACACTAGTCTATAGCAAAATGCTTATTTCCTTATATTCAAACAACATATATTTGTTCATTTTCAACAATATTAACATTATCATAAATTGTTTATATGCTCTTCATTATATAATAATTGATCATAAACTTGCACATTTTCTCTCAGAAAATCTAATCTAAAAATTTAATCTCACTATATATTTTTAAAATCTTTAATTCCAGGTTAGCAATAAAAGTATACTATTACCTAGCATAGTGGAGCCCTGGACATTTGCGATTAGGGTAATAGACATAATAGCTCATCTCCAACAGGCTATCCTCATTCTCAGACAGAATCACCTCATTAGACAGAAAGGGATAGGGTCAAGGTTAATTGCTGAGCTATGCCATAAGGCAGAGC